CTCACCATCACATGCGACGTCACGGCTGACATCATGACGCAACACCAATCAAAATTGGACTAGTTCCATACAGGCTTCAGACGCGTCACACTGAGTGCGTTCCCCAATGTGTTTGATTTCCGACGAGCTTTTCATAACCCGAGACATTATGTTTGTGATTAAGTTAATAAAACTTGTGCACAATACGTATTTGTTTCTGATTCTCTGCTTGCAACAAAGTTTTTTTACGATTTAGATTTTGACTACAGGCTCTTGGTAGTACTGTAAATTAAGAAAGATTCCCAGCCCTGGAATTGAACATTTCTTAGAATCAGGCTAATAAACAATTAAAACAGGTGGATTGATTGTAATATTAATTTTATTACTACATTAAGTTAATTTTATTAACTAATCCAAATATGAATAATCAATCATAACTTGTTATGATTATTAATATTTATTTAGAGCTAATTTTCTACATCATGAAAATAGTAATGTAATGGTCCAAAAATGTTGATTCATTTTGTTAATTTTTGTCTTATTTTGGAGTGAACATCACATGATTTTTTTTGTGAGATTCACTCAGTAATCTGTTCAAAACTGAAGTGCCCTTTAAGGCAAACCATTTTACTTTTCTATATATATCTTTTATCTGAATATACCCCGACCAACCTTTTTTATTACAGCATCATTTCACTTCAAGTAGCAAGAGGTAAAAAATCAGTTTCCTTTCATTTCTGTCAAGGATAGAGTTCAATAACAGTTCACAATATTGAACTGAAAGCCATTGTGATTGAAGTCTATATGATGAACTACACCTCCACCTCCAGTACTTGCTGAGTTCTCTCTCTTTCGTTCAACCCATCCTACCCCCTGTAAACTTCGCCCCTCTCTGAGGAAATACAAAAGCCTTCCTTTACCTGATGGGATCACACATGGCCCCAGAAATGTCATTAATGCCAGTGTTTGGTCTTGTTTCTTTGTTGTTGTTTTTTGCACTGAATATTTTCAAATGCTCCCTACCATGGGAACAATTGAAAAGCCATGTGAGACGCAAACCTTTCACCAGGATTAGACTGTTGAATCTTAACCCAAAAAGTGTGATTATGATGCATTAAAATGTATTTTTGCATATTAAATTCTATGTGACTCTGCTGAAAGCCTATTTTAACTATTCATTCTCTCCCTCTGTGTAGGCAGATGTAAAAGTCAGGACTGTTTTTTTAAAGGCAAGTGCCATTAGACTCTCTCCAGATGCTGCCTTTTTTGTTATTATTGTATTATTAACCATCAAAAGCCCACACTATTCTATTACCATTCAAACCCAATTCACAATTTCTCTGCAGTGCTACATTAATAAGCCATTTCACTTTTTGTCCATTAAAGTCAAACAAAAAAGGGTATTAGCAGTCCTTTTTTTTTCTTTTGAAAAACATGTACTGATAAATCCAGCAGAATCAGGAACATGGTAAATTGAAAGTAAATGTGTTAAGTATTGATTTCATGTTGACTTCAAAACTAATATTCACTGATTTAAAATAAAATAGGATAAGTGAAAAAAATTGTGGGCTTATGCAAAGATATTTATATTATCTGAGTGTGTGGGTATGTGAGTTATGTAGAAAGCATACTGATGTACATATTGTGCATGTGCTAAATTGGGCTCACAAAAGGGGAAGACAAACTTTGCTGTGTTCATTCCACGGTCTATTCATTCTCTGTCAAATTCATACCAGCTAGTTTGAGCGAAATCTAAATGTGGCTATTGCGTTCAGGCCGCCCGCAGCACATTTCTTGCACTCCCACACAGCAGTGTGGCATTAAATGTGGCAGTCAGGCAATACTGAGGGTGTACTGACGGTCGGGGCGTCAGTGCCATTAAATCGCATGTCTAGTACCTGGAGGCAAGCAGGCGCCTGGCCATGTGGTTTATTCACGTCCACCGCCACGAGCTGCCATCCTCCAGACGCGTCCTCGTGAAACATCTGCCACAAGGAGGTGAGATGGAGAGAGAGGGGAAGAATGAAGGAGAAAGGGAGGACCAATTGTTAACAAGTGTGAATGACTGGTGGTTTGTCAGTTAACATGCAAAGTTAAATAACACAGACATTGGGGGGAGGGGGGGCTAAGCAAAACAGTTGGCTACAAAGACAATTGGCAATCTCAAAAAAAAATGGGCAATTACATTATAATTCTTCACCAACTTCATAATCATTTTATAAACACAGGCAAGGTCACAAGAAATTGACTTCATGATACAGCGAGCATCCATTCACATTTCAGAATCTAAATGCACCATGACTTCACTATGACAGATTCGAGGAGACAGCGGCGGAGACAGCAGGGACTAGAGTAGGGAGGCGATGCTACAGCAGGCACCTTGAATCTGGCAAACAACAGAGGCTACTCATATCCATATGTACACAGCCTAGAACTATCAAACGGCTCTATGCTCGAAGCCTTTTTATCATCTGCCTAGTGAAAATCGAAATAAACTGGATTGTTTAGAAAACTAACAGCCCACCACTGTTTAACATTATTAATTTCCATGACACAAAAAGTGTGGGATGCTTGTCTATGTGCCACATTAAATGTTGCCGTACATTTTACGACTATATATTGAGCTTCAGACACTTTGTGCCCACTGTTTGCATTCCCACCCTAAGCACAAGAGTGAAAATCTGCCAATGGCTGTTCCTAATGTGCACTGCTGCTGTTCCACTTATGTCTGTCTTTTATCAGTTCGGAAGAATAGATAACCAATTAAACCCATGAGAAATGACAGTCATTAAGCTCACAATGCCCCCTCGGCTCTGACAGATTAAAAAGGTTACTACATAAATAGATATTTAAAAAGTTTCCCCTCATAGTCTTGTAATTATAACTTTGCAATTCATGTGGTAATCTTCTTAAGGGACCTTATTGTATTATATTACTTTTTATAAGACAGTCAAAAAAGGGATGGTGCAATCTTGCCAAAAGAGTATCATCAGGCCCCAGGAGAACCTTATTCGTTTTATTTCTTTCATTAAAAGGCTCATTCCCCATTGTATTGTCTGACAACTCATAAACCAAGTTCCCTTTCGTAGTCACTTCGAGTTACGTCAGAAGTGACGGAGATTGGGGGTTTCGCATAGAAAGCCAATCCTCTTCGAGTATTTAAACACGAGCCAATGGCATGCAATGCCTTGGGGCTGCGGAAATTTGCATAGCGTACTCCGCCCTACTCCGTGAGTATAAAAGGAGGAAGTGAACGCAACCGCAGTATGTTTTCGCTTCGGAGCCAAGAGAACCTCTTCACTCCTGAAAGCACTGTTCAAGACTCTTCGAGACGAGCGTCCTCTTCAGTGTTGGTGTGACGGCGGTACCCAGCGAGATTCTGCATCGCCTGCGATCTGAGCAGTGGTCTGCCAGACTTTGCGCTTCTCCCTGGTCGCTTCAGCGCTGAAAGAGTGAATTTCCTCCTCTCATTGAAAGAGCTGCACGCGCACGTCTTTTTAAAGACGGTTCGCCCGTGTTCTTCTGGGTGTGGTTGATTTCTGTCGTCATCTGATGGTCACGATCGCTGCTCTGTATGCCTGGGCATTTCAGCATGCAGCAGCAGCGTTCGTGGATGACTCATGTTCCTTCTGTGGGAACATGACCATCTCTACACTGAGGTCGAGACTCAATGATCTCACTTGAGTGAGAGTCCCGGTCCCCCCCGCTCGATCGGTTTCCTCCATAGGGGGCCCGTCGACCCGGGGACCTGGTGATTTTACGGTGATGGTGTGGGACAAAGCCCCGACGATTCCTCGGGCCACACCTCCCGCCTCAGTGCGAGAGCCAGCGAGCGTTAGTTCGATTCAGTCGGTTGCTTCTTCGGTGGCACCGGCTGCTTCGGGCAGCGCTCCAGATGATGATGCGATGTCGATCACAGCATCACTAGGCGGGCTTGACTCCTCGGGAAGTGAGGATGCGGCCGCGTTGCCTCCCTCGGGAGCGTCAGCGCCGCCGTGTCTGATCCCGCGATGATGGCCGTGCTATCTCGGGCGTCCGTGAGCATCGGGTGGGGGTGGAACTCCGCCCCATCCCGATCTCTCGCGGCTGAATAATTGGTTTTTGGGTAACGCTGCCGCCTTACGGCCACGGCCAACCCCAATTTCCTTTTTTCCCCGAGTTGCATGCGGAACTGACACGCACTAAAAAATAAATAAATAAAAAAATAAAAAATAAAAAAAGGCGTGCTTTAGTTCCCCGCCCTTCCTCCCCTCGGCGATGCGGCTGTCTGTGGGTACGCTGGGGCTCCCCCGGTCAACCGGCGGTTGCTCTCAGATGCCCCTCCAAAGCCTATGGGTTCTCGTCGTCTATGGCGGCGCGATTCTGTAGAGCGGCGGGACAGGCAGCCTCCGCCCTGCATATGATGAGCACCTACAAAGCTAGCTGCTCAGGAATGTGCACGAGGAGGTGACGGACCAAGCGAGCTGCGAGCCTGCCGCCTACCTTGTCCTTAAACGGGTCACGGAGGCGGTCGCTCGCTCCCTTGGTCAGGTGATGCCCACCGCTGTGGTCCAGGAGCATCATATGTTCGGCGGTGCGGTCCAGGACTTTGCCCAGCACTTCTCGACCGCCTAGGAGCAGACGAAGGCGGTTTCTCTGCCCCGACGGCCAGCTGCTGCCTCCAACCAGCCGTCGGCTCGGACGCCTCCGCCAGCTCGCCGCCAAGGACGCCCCCCTGCGGCTCCCTTCCCTCCCACGCGGCCCCAGCAGCAGCCTTCAGCCGGTTCGCGTCGCGGAGGAGGCCACAGGTAAGCGTCCCCCCCCCCCCCCTCAGGCCGTGTGCCCCGCTAAACGCCAGGCGAAGCGATGTTCCTGAGGCGGGCCGCTCAGTGATAGTGTCATGGTTTTTCTCAGGAGGCGGTGGCAGGGCCCCTCCTTCCCCGGTGGAGGGCCGGTGGAGAATCTTTTGTTCTAGCTAGCTCCCTGAGCTGGTTGAGGAAAAGCTGACACTGTCATGAGCACACAGACTGGAATGAGCGCGCACGACGTCCAGTGCGTCGCCCCGTTCATTCCTCTCTGTCTCGGAGGGCGCGGAAGGGTGCGTGTGTCGTCCCCGGGCTACGCCAATCCCTTCCCCCTCTGTCGCCAGACCCCCGGCAGAACAGACCCCCGTGGAACGCTCTGCCTTCCCTGGTCTCTTCTGTCGGGGAGCGGGGTTCGACGGTGCATCCGGACGGGGTAACTCCTGCACGCATGCCGGTCGACCCGCCTCGCTGCCCCTCCGGGGGACGTCTGTGGTTCGCATGACCCCGTTGGCTCACTTCCTGGAAGCCTAGCTAGCGCTTCCCGGGTATCCCACTGGGTCATCAGAACGATCAGATTCGGCTACGCGATTCAGTTCGCACGGTCTCTTCCCCGCTTCAGGGGAGTTCGCTCCGCGATGGTTGGTGGCAATGCCCCAGTCTTGAGAGCGGAGATTGCGACCCTGCTGGCGAAGGGTGCAATCGAGACGGTCCCTCCAGCCGAGGTGAGGTCCGGGCTTACAGCCCCTACTTCATTGTCCCCAAAAAAGACCGGTGGGTTACGACCGATCCTGGACCTGCGCATTTTGAACCGTTCTCTCCATCGACTACCGTTCAAAATGCTCACGGCCAAACGCATTTTCGAATGTGTTCGGTATCAGGATTGGTTTGCAGCGATCGACCTGAAGGACGCGTACTTCCATGTCTCCATTCTCCCTCGACACAGACCGTTTCTTCGGTTTGCCTTCGAGGGCCAGGCATACCAGTACGCCGTTCTCCCAGTCGGGTTAGCTCTGTCCCCTCGCGTCTTCACGAAGATCGTCGAGGCAGCCCTTGTTCCCCTTCGCGAACACGGGGTTCGCATCCTGAACTATCTCGACGACTGGCTGATACTAGCACACTCTCGAGCTCAGGTTTGCGAACACAGAGACCTGGTGCTACGGCACCAAGCCCGTCTGGGCCTTCGGGTCAACCGGGAAAAGAGCAAACTTTGCCCCGTGCAGAGGATCTCTTTTCTCGGCATGGAGATAGACTCGGTCGCCATGTCCGCGCAGCTCACGACGAGCGCGCGCACTCACTGCTGGCTTGTCTTCGACAGTTCGAGGGCAAGAGTGCGGTTCCACTGAAACTATTTCAGAGGCTCCTGGGGCATATGGCATCCGCGGTACGCCGCTCGGTTTGCTTCATATGAGACCGCTTCAGCTGTGGCTTCGCGATCGAGTCCCGAGGTGGGCATGGCATCGCGGCTCGCTCCGAGTTCCAGTGACTCCGACGTGCCGCCGAACCTTCTTCCCGTGGTCGAACCTCAGCTTTTTACGGACAGGGTCCCTATTCAGCGAGTTTCCAGGCATCTCGTTGTCTCCACGGATGCGTCTACCACGGGTTGGGGTGCCATGTGCAATGGGCATGCAGCCGCCGGTTCCTGGACAGGAGCCCAGCGCCTCATGCACATCAATTGCCTCGAGCTGTTGGCAGTACGGCTCGCCCGGCACCGCTTCCGAGCGTGCTCAAGGGCCAGCATGTGCTTGTCCGCTCAGACAACACTACGGCAGTAGCGTACATCTACCACCAGGGGGGTCTACGCTCGCGCCGGTTGTCGCAGCTCGCCCGCCACCTCTTGATATGGAGTCAGAAGCACCTGAGGTCCCTTCGTGCAGTTACATTCCTGGAGACCGGAACCGGGCAGCCGTCGAGCTGTCCCGGGCCCGCTCCATCTCCGGCGAATGGCGACTCCATCCCCAGTCGGTCCAGCTAATTTGGGACCAGTTCGGGGAGGCACAGATAGACCTGTTCGCCTCTCGGGACTCGTCCCACTGCGCCCAGTTTATTCTCTGACCCGCGGCTCTCTCGGCTCGGATGCGCTGGCGCACAGCTGGCCACGGGGCCCACGCAAGTGTGCGTCCCCCCAGTGAGCCTCCTTGCACGGGTGTTGTGCAAGATCAAGGAGGACGAGGAGCAGGTCTTGCTGGTAGCCCCCTACTGGC